AGCAGCATCCTCCTCGTCCTCCTCCTCCTCCTCGTCCTCCTCCTCCTCCTCCTCCTCTTCCTCCTCCTCCTCCTCCTCCTCTTCCTCCTCCTCCTCCTCCTCCTCTTCCTCCTCCTCCTCGTCATCTTCATCCTCCTCTTCTTGCCGTATCACCCTGCCACTGCAGTTCTGGCGGCTTGCTGGTCACAAAGGCATCAGTGTCACACGCTTCCAGTACTTACCGGTATCGCAGACCATGAAATGCGGGTCCCATAGGGGAAGGGGGTCCGCTCGAGACGTCCTCGTTACGAGCGCACGAGAGTGTGAGCGAGCATAAAATCAGTCCCAGGAGCGGAGTTCTTGGAGCACGAAGGGCCCGAAGTGGCTGACAGGTGGCTCCGACCATTCAAGATTAGCCCCTGGAGCGGAGTTCTGGAAGCACGAAAAGCCCAAAATGGCTCAAAGGTGGGCTTTGACATGCAAGGTCATTCCTGGAAATGGAGTTTTGCGTATTCGATGAGCACGAAGTGGCTTACAGCTTGCTTTTGGACGCTCAACAATCAGCGACCCGATTATCACAAAACTGTTGTTTGTTAAAATCTGTGCAGATGGGCAAAGCCATATGTTGTTCCTTTTTATCGAATGGCCTTCGGCACATCCTTGCACCGTGCCTGGGCTGTGGGTCTGAGGCACCTTAGATGTTCGTCGGGATCTCGTCGAGGCTGCTCGGGTGCCTCACGGAGACAGGTTTGAGGACCCTGGGGGGCTGACTTGAATGGGGGAACGAAAAATGACATAAACATCAAAACTCGGAGGTCCGCGCGGATTTCTCGAATCGGCGCTCGACCCCCCTCCCTGGCGCGCGGAGCGCGCCAGGGGCGGCGCCGGAGGCGCCGCCAGGGGAGCCCAGCGCCGACCCGAGAAATCCGCGCGGGCCTCCGAGTTTTTATGTTTGTGTCATTCTTCGTTCCCTTCTTGAAGCCTCGTGGGGGCCTCTTGGGGGACTCTTGGGGCACCGTGAGGCTTCTTGAGTTGAGACCTCCTGGGGCCTCCTGGTTGCCCCCTGGGGCGGGAGGCTCGGTGATTTCGGTCCGCGCTCCCCCTCGTGGGGGGGCCATCGTGGGGCCCTCCTGGGCTCTCTCGGGCTCCTCCTTGCGCCGTCTTTTGGGGGCCTCTGAGGTCGTCCTGGGCTTGCCCTGGGAACGACAGGGCCGTTTTTTTACCGGTTCCGTTTTGCCGTTTCTTTGCTGGTTCCGACGCCGTTTTATTACCGGTTCCGTCGCCGTATTTTGATCGGTTCCGGCTCCAGTTCCAATCCTGGAGCCGTTTTTTTGTCGTTTCCAATCGCCGTTTTTTTGCCGCTTCCATTTTCAAGGAACATGTTTTGGGAAACGGTGAAAAAACGGCCCTGCCGTTTCTGAGGCCCACAAAGGTCCTGGGGCGCTTGGCATCGCTCGGACGTGTGCATTTTTCCTTCCGCGAGGGCCATCGAGGAGCATCCTTGATCATTTGGCGAAAAAGCCACGCACGAAACGGAAGAAAGCACAGGGAATGGACGTTCGAGCGATGGCCAGGGCGATCTTTGGAGCCTCTTGGAACGTCTTGGAGCGTCGGAAGCTCAAAGCATACTCCAGATTTCACAATAAAAGGGGGGTGATCTGATTTGGGATGGGGTCAGATTTGAGCTGTCTTGGAGGGTTCCAGTGGGTCTGGGCAAAAAGCCGCCCTTTCATGGCTTGTTTGGGGGGGTCTGAAATTGCCCGTCTGTGAGGGTTGTGACCCCCTCCCTTTTATGGCGAAATCTGGAGTAGAGAACCCAACAGACATTCAGAAAAAAACGCCGGGAAAGGAACGACTTTGGCCTCTCGGACCGCCCTCTTGGGAGGGCTCTTGGAGCTCTCTTGGGGCGTATCGACGGCTTCTGCGGCCGTCCTCGGAGGCCTCCTGGACCTTCCTTGAAGTCGGACCCGTCCCTCTACAGGAGGAATGTTCAAAGTGAGTTTTGAAACATAGTCGGGGGACTGTATGTTGACCATTTGTTTGGCTATTTTCGACGATGCTTCAAGTGTATTTTATTTGGTTTTAAAAAATAGTCTGGGGACTATCTGTTGACAATGTTTGACTATTTTCGGTTATGTTTTAAGTTTTTGTTTTTTTCCTCCAAGAGCCGCCTGTGGGGGGACATGCCCGCCTCAAGCCTTCCTGGGGCCCTCTCGGGGCCGCCCTGGCCCGTGCTGTGGCCCCCTTTGGGATGGCGCACCGTCCCGGAGGCCTGCGCGCGGCGCGCCCCGCGGGGAGCGCCCGGCCGCACGCAGAGAGCGTCCGGGAGTCTCGCGGCCCGCGCCCGCAAGAATCTCTCCTCCTCCGCCTCCTCCTCCTCCTCCTCCTCCTCCTCCTCCTCCTCCTCCTCCTCCTCCTCCCCCCTCCTCCTCCTCCTCCTCCTCCTCCTCCTCCTCCTCCTCCTCCTCCTCCTCCTCCTCCTCCTCCTCCTCCTCCTCCTCCTCCTCCTCCTCCTCCTCCTCCTCCTCATCCTCTCTTCTCCGCTCTCCTCCTCCATGACCCCCTTCCCGCTCGCCTCACAGGGAGGCAGGGGGCGGTCGGGCAGTGGGGCCGAACGAAAGGGGGGGATTGGGAAAGGGGGGGTTACGAAATTTGCTGCATGCAGCTGGTTTCGGCCTCACCGAGGGGCTCATTCCTCGATACATAGCCGCCTCCGGCGCCGGGAGGCGCCGGGAAAATCAGCTACGTGAGCCGATTCTCAAACCCCCCCTTTGCTATCCCCCCCTGTCGCCCGACCCTAGAGTCGATGACACGTAAGAGCGGCCCTGCGCCGGAATGACCTTTGGTGCGGGCCCGCTGGGGTCCCCCGATCGCCTAGCGCGAGGCGGCAGCGGCGTCTTGCGCGCCTGTGTTTGGCCCCCCCCCCGCGGCCCCCACGAAGCCGCGCACCAAAGGTCACTCTTGCCCAGGGTCACTCCTACGCGTGGCCGAGATAAACTCACAAGCTTCGCAGGACTGCATGACGTCTCGTGGCGCCAACATCGCAGAGCGGATTTCGTTCGGACAACGACAGGGTGGGCAGGGGGTGTCCTGGAGAATTTCGCTCCGGGTGTCAAGGAGAATCTCGAGGGGATTCCTCTTTGGCCGGGAATGAAGACCAAAAAGAATCCACGCGAAATTCACTTCGTTTTTCGCTCGCCGATCCAGGCAAAAATCCACGCAGAAATCCGAGCAGAAGTCCGCTGCAGCACGTCTGCAAGGCCGGTGCAATGAGACGTCACAGAATTGCATGAGCCTTGGGGCTTCCACTACCCAGCGGTCGCTGAAACTAGGCAAATTTGGGTTCCCAGATACCAATCTACGTTAGGCGCCTTCCTACTTCAATGATCGAGCGGCTTCACCTTTGCCGTCCTCCTTAGGGGGCGGACGGAACCCAATCTATGTTCAGCGCCTTTCTACTTCATGTTTCTACCTACGTCTTCCGAGCGATGCGTACGTGTTGAAGGCACGGTGGCGGATATGTCTTCTGATGGCCGCCCCGGACTAGCAAGATACAGTGCCACAGAGGGACGGGGCTCCCGCCTGAGCCTTCCTCACACATGCGGGCACAGACGGGGCCCGCGCTCGAGACGTCCTCGTTACGAGCGTGCGGGTGTGTGAGCGAGCGCAGAATCCGTCCCAGGAGTTGAATCTTAGGAGCAGGAGGAGCCCGAAGTGGCTGACAGTAGGCCCCGACCGTTCAAAGTCAGCCCCTGGAGCGGGGTTCTGGAAGCACGAAGAGCCCGGAGCGGTACAGTTGGCGCTGGCCATTCAAAATCAGTCTTTGATCCAGGGAGAGGAGTTTTGGAAGCACGAAGAAGCAGTTGGCCCCGTACATGCAGAATCGAGCCTGGGAATAGATTTTGGGGCTTGTCCAAACCACGAACTGGATTACAGTTGGCTCTGGGGCACTCGACATCAGCACTGGGAATGAAGTTCTGGTGATTCGATGATCACAAAACAACGATGTGCTTTATAGGAACTCCAATGGCTGTCCCGGATTGACAAAGTAAAGTGTCCACAGGGAAGGGGTTCCCGCCTGAGACTTCCTCACAGATATGTCACAAACGAGGCCCCTGCTCGAAACTTCCCCCTATACGAATGTATGAGTGTGTGGCTGCGGGTGCGAGTAATTTTGTAAACATGCGTGGTGGTATTGAGGATGGTGGTGCTGGCGATGATGGTGATGCTTTGATGATGTTGATGTGAGGGTGTGAATGCGATGATGGTGGAGATGGTGATGCTGAAGGCGATGTGTGAGAATGTGAGAGAGATGGGGATGAGGACGAGGACGATGCTGATGCTGATGCTGATGCTCATATTGATGCTGATGCTGATGATGACAAAGTTGATGATGGGTGTGGTGGTGGTGATGATGGTGGTGGTGGTGGTAATGGTGATGGTGAAGATGGTGATGGTGATGGTGATGGTAATGTCGATGGCGGTGGTGATGGTGATGACGCTGACGATGACGATGACGATGATGATGGTGATGGTGATGGTGATGGTGATGGTGGTGATGGTGATGATGAAGTTGCTGACGATGCTGATGGTGATGTTGATGACCATGATGATGACTATGATTGGGATGATGATGGTAACGACTACGATGATGAGGATAAGCACGAGGATGATCATAATGATGATGATGATGATGATGAGGAGGAGGAGGAGCAGGGTTAGGGTGATGATTAGGTGATGGTGGTTGTGATGGTAATGACGCTGATGCTGATGATGATGATGGTGGTGGTGATGATGCTGATGGCAGTCATGATGATGATGGTCATCATCATCCTCATGCTGATGATCATGGTGGTGATGATGATGATTCTGCGACTTTGAAGTGCGCGCGGTAGTGGTGATAACGATCGTAGGAAGAAGAGAGGGGACGGGGGTGATGCGGGATACAACATATATGTGTGCTTATATATCTATATATATATCTGTGTATATATATAGCCAGCAAAAGAAAGTTGGCCGAGGCGGAGGCCGCGCGCATCTTCTCGGAGGCCGCCGAGGCGGTGCATTATCTGCACATGGTGGGGATCATGCACAGGTCGAAGAAAAACAAATGCATGAGCACGCATTTTTGGAGGTCCGCGCGGATTTCTTGGATATACGATGGGCCCTCCCTCGCTTTCGGAGGTTCTCGTTGCTTCCTTGAGGTTTTCTCGCCAGGGATGCTGCCCCGCAACTGCGTTTCGCCGAGGGCGTCACGGGGGTGTCCGGATCGTCCCGAACGGCCTCCAGAGACCCGCGTTATGATGCGGTTTTCTTTCATCAAATTGTTTGTCCCCGATTTCGGCCCCGAAGGGCCCGTGACCGGGACCCCGGGCCATCATAGACAAATCCGGGGCGGAAAGTTGGCCCCACGGTAGTCGTCGGGACTTCCCTGGGGCCGCGGATTGAAAAATCAGATCGGCGGACGTCTGGGAACCGCAAGACCAAAACTCCCTGAGCTTCGCGAGGATTTCTTGGATCGCGCTGGGGGCGGCGCCGTAGGAGCCGCCATGGGGGTTCACCACTGGTGCAAGGAAAGGGAATCCGCGCGGACCTCCCAAAGTTCATGCTGATGCCGTTCCCAGACCCAAGGGAGGAAAAACCACCCGGACCGGACAGTTGGCGTTTACGAAACAGCCTTGGGCGTTCCCTGCACAGTCCTGTCCTGTTCGATTCCTTCGATGGGCGCGTTTGCGAAACGGCCTCGCTGGTCGGGGTAGTTATTACTGGGGTGAATTTTCTGCCCTCCACAGACACCCGCCAGTATTAAGTCGGGCCCGTCCCTCTACAGGGGTCTACAGAGGGGGAATATTCAGAAATAGTCCAAAAATAGTCTGGGCACTATGCCTTGTCTGTTTTTGAGCATCTGGGGGGTATTTTTTGAATCTTACTTTCGCCCAAAATCCCCCTGTAGGGGAAGGCGCCCAACTTGACGCCAGCAGGATCTTTCAGCTCGCTGAGGGGCAGCGAACGCGATCTGTGTTTCTGGGGCGACGGAGGAGGAGATAATGCTCGTAGCGTAAGAGCAAACCTGAGCAGCCCAATCGTTGGTAAGAGCAAACCTGAGGCCCGAACTTGTCGCGAATGGGTGTCGTAAGGACTGTTATTGACGGATCTAGCGCGCCGGCTGAGCGTGTTGGGTTCTGGCCCTGGAAACAAAGCTGCCCCCCAAGCGACCTCTAAGCAGGATCTGCTCAGTGCGCGGCCCCGGCCCCCTCCCGCCAGGACCGGCGCGTCGCGGCGGAGCGCGGTGGTCGGCGCGTCCCCCCCCCCCCCCCGGAGGCGTGGCGGGCCGGAGCAGGCGGCCCGACACGCCGAGCAGCTCGAGCCCCTCCACAGGAGAGATGTTGACAGGTGGAGTTGTTGGAGGAGGAGGAGGACGAGGAGGAGGACGAGGAGGAGAAGGAGGAGGAGGAGGAGGAGAAGGAGGAGGAGGAGGAGGAGGACGAGGAGGAGGAGGAGGAGGAGGAGGAGGAGGAGGAGGAGCAGTCGGGGATCTTCTGGCCCGGGTCAATCCAGACCCGGGTCAGTCAGGCCTTGCAAGAGCGCCCAAGCCCGGGTTGATGCGAGGGATCCTGCAAGATCCTGCAGGATTTGCACCCAAACCCGGGTCAAGGCGACCCTGGCCCTGCAGGATCTTGCAAGAGCGGGCGCGTTGGCAGACCCTTGTTTGCATAGACCCCCGTTTCAAGGCTCCCGAAGCAGGCGGCCCGACACGCCGAGCTCAAGTCGGGCCTGTCCCTCCGCAGGAGAAATCTCAAAAAAAAAAAAAAAAAATCGTAGTGGGACAATGTTTCGAGCATGCGCTGCCTGTGTTCGAGCATGTTTTGACTGTTTTTTCTTTCTCGCTCGAGAGTCGTCTGGTGGGGGGACGTGCCCGACCTGAAAGAAAGAAGTCCGCGCCGACCCCCGACAGTGCGTGTTTATGCCTTGTCGGCTCTCCCCTCTTCACGAGGGACCCAACGTCGGAGATCTGGGCCTTCCCCTCGCCTGCCCGGGGAGGAGGGCCGGCGCCGATCCGCGAAGTCCGCGCGGACCCCTCCGAGAGTTTGCGCGTGGGCCATGTTCGGGGTGCAGGGGAGACCCATGCCAAGAAACACCCTGTTTGCCTCCAGGGTGTCCTGGGTTTCTTGGGCTTCGATGGTTTTGCCATGGGAAGCGTGACGCTCCCACGCCAAGAATCAATGGACGTCCTGGGGGTTCAAGATCGGGTTTCTTGTGGAAGGTTCCTTGTGGTCGGGCCCCTACTGTGGCCCCCCAAGAGGGACCTGAAGCCCGAGAACATCCTCCTCGACGCGCTGCAGCGGTGCAAGATCTCGGACTTTGGGTGCTGCTGCCGCTGTGGCCAGCTGCAGTTCGGGGAGTGCGGGTCGCCTGCCTATCCGAAGGGCTGCGCCCTCCCCTAAGCCACTCGTGTCGTGGGCTCCGGGGGGCGCACGTGCGGAGGGAGGAAACAAACAAACAAACAAACAAAGAGTGTTCGCTTTCTTATCTGCTGTTTGGCCGATCGGCGCGGGCCCTCGCTCCACCCCCCCCCCCTCCACCCCCCCCGTGGAGCAGATCTTGGCTGTTTGGGGCCCCTGCTTCGAGCAGGTGGAGCCTCCCCCAGAGGACGCACCGCCGCAAGCAGTCGCACTAGGCAGAGATCCGGAGCCAGACCCCCCCCCCCCTTCCGCCCAAAGGGTCCAGTGCCGAAGCGCCGCGTAAGAAGACGCTCGCCCAAACAAGAACGACGGACTGTGTCTTGTGTTCTTGCACTCCAGGGGGGGGAGGAGGAGGAGGAGGAGGAGGAGGAGGAGGAGGAGGAGGAGGAGGAGGAGGAGGAGGAGGAGGAGGAGGAGGGGCCCTGACCGAAAACGCTCACCCAAACAAAGAAAGCTACGGACGGTGTCCTGTGCTCTTGCACTCCCGCAGGCCCGGACCGTGCCTCGGGGCCGCCCGGACACGACTCGGAATGAGATGCCCGTGCCGGGGGGGGGGGGGATCCAGACCTCTGGGGGCCACGTCGGGCACGTCCCCATCCACAGGAGGAGGGGTGTTCAGAAATAGTCAAAACATGGCCCGGGGACGATGTCTTTTTAGAATATGTTTGGTCATGGTGGTTGTCTGGGGGGATCTTTCTGATTTCTCCCTCCCAGAATTCCCCTTGTGTTCTTTGATAATTCCGGTTTTTTCGTCCCAGAATTCCCCTGGATGGGGGACAGGCCCGGCCGAAACCCAGACCTCTGGGCGCCCCCGGGGCTCGGAGAGTGCGGGTCGCCCGCTCGTCCACGGCGCCTCGCGGCACCGCGTCCGTGCAGGCGGGGGGCCTCGGGGGAGCCGCCGAGGCTCTGTGGGCTCTCGTGGACCTGAGCTCGAAGTCGGGCCTGTCCCTCCGCGGGCCCTGGAAACGACAGGGCCGTTTTTTTTTACCGGTTCCGTTTTGCCGCTTTTTTGCCAGCTCCGACGCCGTTGCTTTACCGGTTCCGTCGCCGTTTTGGGACCGGTTCCGGCTCCGGTTCCAATCCTGGAGCCGTTTTTTTGCCGTTTCCTGTCGCCGTTGTTTTGCCGTTTCCATTTTCAAGTGGCATTTTTCTGGAAACGGTGAAAAAACGGCCCTGCCGTTTCCGGGGCCCACAAAGGCCTGTCCCCTTACAGGGGGAATATGCCAAAATAGCATTCAAAGAAAAAGTCTGGGGACGATGTTTTGAATATTTTGTTGACTAAGTCGGGGCATGCTTCTGGTAGTTTTAATACTTCGCCCAAGCTCCGCCTGTATGGGGGACATGCCCGACCTACACCTACGCAGGGCTCATTTCGATTCCTGCGATTCGATTTCGATTTCGATGGATTCCGATTCCGATTCCGATTCGACATCGGACTCCGAGTTGGGATCCGATTTCTCAATGGAGGCCTCTTGGCTTGCCGATGTCTACCGATTCTACTTTTCCCGACTCGGCTGCCGATTCCCGCCGATCCGATTCATTTCGATCGCCGATTCGACGTATCGATTCGACTCTGGGCTCTCCTGCCTACGAGGATCGGGCGGGGCTAGGACAGGGATAAATCAGTTTTCCACAACGCTCTGGAATCGCCGCGGCGCCGGATACATCCTCCAGAACCGCTGGCTCCGATTTACCATGGTCTGATTGTGACCCCGTTCTCCAGGGAACCTCCAGAGGTCCTCGAATGATCGCTGGATCCTCCATGGATCTTCGAGTCTCAGCCTGGTCCGGTTGGAGCCCCCGTCCCGGCCTCGCCTCGGCAGGAGCTCTGAGGAGCCTCCCCGAGGCAGCTTGGGGGGGGGCCTCTTGGCAGCCCCTGGCCCGCCCATCTGGACGGCGGCGGCGCTCCTGCCGGCGGCCCACGAGGACTGAGCAATCCTGTTCTGACGTGACAACGCGCCTTCCTGAGGTCAGCATCGTTGAACCTACACGCCGGTCGTTGCAAGCAGGTATTTTTGGACTCCCAGAGCCCAGTCTTTTTTTGGCGCCTTCCTACTTCAAGGATCGACTGGCTTCCTCCGTCCCTCCTCTTCAGGGGGCGGGCGGGAGCCCAATCTACTTCCAACGCCTTTGTACTCCATGTGTCTACCCACTTCGTTCGACCGGCGTGTGAGTATACCAGCCCCACCGTCCCAGCTTCTAGCGGCCCCTTCCCTGCCCCGGGGCCGTCCGAAGCCGACTCGAGAAGGGAGCTGTCCCCGGGGCAGGGGGTCCGGACTTCAGGGGACTTCACCCAGAGATCCGACGCCCCAAAAAATTGGAGCGGGCGGCCTTGAGTTGTCCTCTCGGACCCCCGGGGACCCTCGCCGGGCCCGGGGACTGCCAAAAAACGGCTCACGACGAAAAACCGGTCCTCGGGAAGTTGTCCAGACCTCCGGGGCCCACGCATCGAAAAATTGGAGCAGCCAGATGTCTGGGCAAGGACCGCTGGCGCCCTAAACTTAAGTCGGGCCTGTCTCTCTACAGGAGGAATATCCAAAAAGAGCAAATAAATAGTCTGGGACTTTTTTTTTGCTATTGTTCAATTTTGGAGTATGTTTTGACTATATTTTGTTTGTCCCCCAAAATCCTCCTGTAGGGGGACATGCCCGACCTAACCTTATAGGGCCTAAAGACAGCCATCCGGCCATCTTGGGGCAGCCTCCCGGAGGCTCAGTCTTCAGCCACGGCTCCCGGAGGCCCCTGGCCCCTGCCCCAGGGACCGTCCGAGGCTGGCTCGGGGCAGAGTTAAGTCGGGCCTGTCCCTCTACAGGAGGAGTACTCAAAGATAGTCCAAATATACTCTTGTATGTTTGACTTGTGTTCTTATGGATTTGCCTGTTTAACTTGTACTTTTAACTTGTTTGAATGTTTGGGGATATCTTGAAATTTTCGTTCAAAATCCGCCTGTAGGGGACATGCCCGACCTAAGGATAGAGGGCTGGCCCTGGGGGAGGGGTTGGGGACTTCAGGGGACTTCATGAAACACAGGAGCACCAAGATCCAGGCCTCCCAGATGGGGTCGGAGCAGATGTGGTCGGAGGATCGCGCCGCATCGCCGATGCATGCCGATGCGGCTCGATGTTATGCCCGATGTTCTCTGCACCGGTGTCGCCGAGGCACCGCCGACGTCGCAGATGCGTCGCCGATGCATCGCCTATGCATCGGCGATGCGGCGCCATCCTCCGACCCCATCTGCTCGGACCCCATCTGGAAGGTCTCTACAAGACCCGCTCCCAGCAGTCTTCCCTGAGATCTCCTGGCGTCGCAGCTGGTCCGCACTGGGCGATCTCAACCCGTTTCGGGCCCGCTGGGCCCTTAGCAGTCGATCCAGCCCGAGAAGTGCCTGAGAAAGATGGGGTCCGGGGCTCAGGTCGTGGTGTTGTGCGATGTTCTATGTTTGCTCGTGGCGTCGAATCGCGGGGTTGGAGCAGGGGACCGACTGCAGAACGCCAAAGAACTGAAGAATGCTCCGTAGATCGACCAGCATGCTGCGTATTCTTCGCAGCTTCGGCGACCAAGTCAATTTTGGGGTCAATCGATTCTGCCGTCGATCTGCTGCTCGAAGGGTCGGGGAGGCTTCTCGTGCCACCCCGGGGCCTCAGATGGGCTCCGGAGGCCTCCGAGAGGGGCCAAGAGGCCCCCAAGAACCCCCAAGGTGGGACAAGATGCAGGAGGGGAAAAAACACACAGACACAACTCCTCCTCCTCCTCCTCCTCCTCCTCCTCCTCCTCCTCCTCCTGCTCCTCCTCCTCCTCCTCCTCCCTCCTCCTCCTCCTCCCCTCCTCCTCCTCCTCCTCCTCCTCCTCCTCCTCCTCCTCTCTCCTCCTCCTCCTCCTCCTCCCCTCTCCTCCCTCCCTCCCTCCCTCCCTCCCTCCCTCCGGGCCCGCGGTCGGGACAATATTCAGGAGGGGAAAAACACACAGACACAATCAACCGTCGATTCCCACGAAAGTATGGGAAAATATGGGAAGTGGGGGGGAAGACAAAAGCCCAGAAAATATAGGAAAATGTAGGGAATCCTGGGATTCGTGTGAATTGAGTTGTGTGTCCTTGGTCCCCTTGAAAGATGCCCCTGAGATGGCCCCCTTGGATCTAGAGCAAGCTCCCAGACGAGCCCGAGACGGCTCCAAGACGGCCCAAGACCAACTGGCGACCCTAAGACCCGATCGTTGTTTTATGTGTACCTCTACACGCATATATACATACATACATACATACATACATACATACATACATACATACATACAGACAGACAGACAGACAGACAGACAGACAGACAGACAGACAGACATACATATATATATATATATATATTATGCAAATATAAACATATCTATGTATACTCATCTTGGGACCACCCTCGGGCCATTTGGGCGACGTTGGGGCTGCATTCTGGCGGCCTGGCGCCCCCAATACACAGGCCCCCGACGTCATGATTTCCTCACGACGTGGGCCCCCCGAGGTCTGGACCCCTTCCCGATGACCAGCTGTCCTCGATGCTTCGAGCCATCTCGGCTCGATGCCGCTGTCTTTCCGCGAGTTCCGCAGCGCCTCCAAGAGGTATTCCGTGACATACGCATCCCGCCGTTGCGGTGCCATAGTCGCGCCAGTGGCTGATTCGAGGACCCAGGCTTCCGACGTCATGATTTCTTGACAACAACGTGGTCCCCCAGAGGTCTGGACTCCTCCCCATGGGGCCGACTACTTTGGGGGCCTCCTGGATGGGGTCGGAGCAGATGGGGTCGGAGTATCGCGCCGCATCGCCGATGCATCGGCTATGCATCAGCGATGCGACTCGATGTGGGACCCAATTTTCTCCACGCCGACGTCGCCAATGCATCGCCGACGTCGCCAGTGCATGGCCGATGCATCGCCGATGTATCGGCGATGCGGCGAGACCCTCCGACCCCGCCTTGAGTTTTCTGTGTTACGGCCCCGAGGCCCAGCAAGGGCCCCCCAGAGGCCAACAAGAATAACGAAACGCCGTCCGTCGCAATTGTTTCATGACGCCGAAGGGGGTCTGGGCCCGCTGGGGGCCGCATTGCCACCGCCTGGCGCCCCCCAACGGGGAGCGGGCGGACTTTGCTCCCGAGATGGTCGCTGGCGCCGGCTACGACTGCCGCGTCGACGTGTGGGCGCTGGGGATTCTGCTCTACGAGATGCTCGCGGGGCACACGCCCTTCTCCTCCGCCATGACGGAGGCCGCCCCCCTCCATCCTCCCTCTGTCCTCCTCGCCATTACCCCTAGCACTCACTCACCCTCCTCACCCTCCTCCTCCTCAGGTAAAAACCCTTCCGTTCCTTATGCAGCGTTCCTGGTGACAGCGCTATGGTTGTAAGTGCTGGTTTGTGCTTGCTGGGCCGCCTTCGACCAGGATCTCCCCGCGCCCTGTTGGATGATGTGATTCCTCATCCGTGCTGGGTTCGTTGCGGCGGAAAAGTTAACATGGCACACATTAAGACGTGTAGAACTAGAGTCGAATGGGGTAGCATAGAGCAGGGCCAAATCGAGGCCAGGAAGGAAGTAATGATATTCTACACTACTTCTCGTGCCTTCATGTTGCTCCTGTCGTGAAGCGCCTGATGTCCTCTCTTCCCGATGGGTGGGGGTAAGAGTGACCCTGGAGCGTGCTTCAATTTTCACTCTAGGGAGTTGCCCGATCTGGCGATTTCCACTCTGCTGCTGCTGCTTCTGATTGCCTTCCCACGAGTTTCAACCACGTGCGAGCTCGTGATTCTGTTGCTCCCTCCCCCTCGGAGTGAAGCTCCTCGAGGGCCGACGTGCGCCTGCCTGCGACGAGGTGTGCAGGGGCGCGGGCCCTCGCGCACTGCTCGGGGGCGCCGCCTTCGCCGATGGCGCCAGCAGGCACGACCCGGCGCGCCTTGGGGAGCGGGTCTCTGCTCCTCCTCCTCCTCCTCCTCCTCCTCATCCTCCTCCTCCTCCTCCTCCTCCTCCTCCTCCTCCTCCTCCTCTTCCTCCCCCTCCCCCTCCTCCTCTTCCTCCCCCTCCCCCTCCTCCTCCTCCTCCTCCTCCTCCTCCTCCTCTTCCTCCTTCTCCTCCTCCTCCTCCTCCTCCTCCTCCTCCTCCTACTCCTCCTCCTCCTCGTCCTCCTCCTCCTCCTCCTTCCCCTCCTCCTCCTCCTCCTCCCCCTCCTCCTCTCCTCCTCCTCCTCCTCCTCCTCCTTCTCCTCCTCCTCCTCCTCCCCCTCCTCCATTCGTTCTCCTTACTAAATACTTTCTCCCTGTCGTACCCCGGGGTCCGTTTTTCGGGCGGGCATGGCGTTTCGCCTGAGATTTCGTCACCACTCATGACTCTGAAGCTAAAAAAGGGACAGCAGCTTCACAGATGGAGGACGGGTGGTTTTCAAAATGTGGTTCTCGCCTTAGCGCCGCGCACATTCGTTTCCCAAAAAATGCAAGAGCTTCACGGATTGAGGGCGGGACGTTTTGAAGATGTGGTTCTCGCCATAGCGTTGCGCACAGTCGTTTTAACACATTGCTAAGTTCTTTACGGATTGCGAGCGGGTCTTTTTTCAATATGTGGTCTTCGCTTTAGCGCCACACACATTCGTTGTGGAAATTTGGAAGAGCTAGATTGAGGGCGGGTCCTTTTTCAATATGTGGTTCTCGCTTTAGCGCCGCGCACATTCGTTGTGAAAAGTTGGAAGAGTTTCACGGATTGAGGGCGGGTGGCTTTCAAAATGTGGTTCTCGCCGTAGCGCCGCGCACATTTGTTTGCAAAGCAAGTTGGAAGAGTTTCATGGATTGAGGGCGGGTGGTTTTCAAAATGTGGTTCTCGCCTTTGCGCCGCGCACATCCGTTTTCAAAAAAATTGCAAGAGTCGGATTTAGGGCGGGTTTTTTCACAATGTGGTTCTCGCCTTCGCGCCGCGCACATGCGCTGCGGAAAGTTGGAAGATCTTAACGGATTCCCGCGATCAACCTACCAGAAACGGTATTTTGGAAGGATTCACGGTTATGCGGGTGAAACAGTTATGTTGATTCGCGGTGTTGAAGTCCCAGAAACGGCGTTCTTGCACGATTCCGGATCGTCAAGACGCAGCAGTCAGGTTGATCCGTGGCGTTGGAATCCCGAGAACAATGTTTTGGCATGTTTCAGAGTCTTCAAACGGCTGTCTTCCAACGAGGCAGTTCCCTCAATGGCAATGAACACTTGTAGGGGCCTATGAAGAGGGAGCTTGGAGGGAGAGTAGATTCCAACATCGTTGATGATTCTTGGGTTTACACTGACACTGATTCTCCTCCTCCTCCTCTTCCTCCTCCTCCTCCTCTTCCTCCTCTTCCTCCTCCACCCCTTTTCCTACGAGCACGTTTGCCCTGTCGCACCCCCAGGCGAGTCGTTATGGCGTGAAGGGTGTGTCGCCGGAGACACCTGTGACCCTGAAGCTTGAAGTCTGCAGCAGCCTCAAGGGTGGTGGGCGGTTGACCCTCGAAATGTGGGCCCCGCCTTCGCGCCGCGCACATGCGTTTTTTTCAGTCTGCTGCAAATTCGAGGATGGAGGGCGGGCCGGTTTCTAAGTGCGGCTCTCGTTTTTACGCCGCGCGCATTCGTTCTGAACATTTGTGTTGATCGGGTGTGCAGCCCCAGAAATGGCGTTGCTGCACGACTTAGGATTGCCACGACACATTACGTCGACTCGCGGCGTTGGAGTCCCAGTAACTCCGATCTGGCACAATGCTGACAGTCAGGACGCAACAGTCACGTTGACTCGCGGCGCGGGAGGGTTTACTGTAACATCGTTGATGCGTCCTGGGTTTACACTGGAGTTCCTCCTCCTCCTCCTCCTCCTCCTCCTCCTCCTCCTCCTCCTCCTCCTCCTCCTCCTCTCTCTCCTCCTCCTCCTCCTCCTCCTCCTCCTCCTCGTCCTCCTCCTCCTCCGCCGCCTCCTTCTCCTCCTCCTTCCTCCTCCTCCTCCTCCTCCTCCTCCTCCTCCTCCTCCTCCTCCTCCTCCTCCTCCTCCTCCTCCTCCTCCTCCTCCTCCATCGTTCGCCTCCTCCTCCTCCTCCTCCTCCTCCTCCTTGACCCTCCCTTCTGTCACCTCCTCGTCTCTTCTTCGTCGGCCATGGCCGCCTCTCCCCAGATCCCCCCGCTCGCCCTCGAGGCCGAGACCAGGAGGCAGATCCTGAGGGCCGAGTTCGAGCTCGGGTCCTGGTCCAGCCTGCCCTGCCAGGCAATCCTCCTCCTCCTCCTCCTCCTCCTCCTCCTCCTCAACCAATCCTCCTTTCCTCTCCTCCTCCTCTTCCTCCTCCTCCTCCTCGGCCTCCTCCTCCTCCTCCTTCTCCGCCTCCTCCCCCTCAACCAATCCTCCTCCTCCACCACCTCCTCCTCCTCCTCCTCCTCTTCCTTTTCCTTCTCCTCCTCCTCTGCAGGCTGGGCAGTTGCTGCGGCTCTTGCTGACAAGGGAGCCCCGGGACAGACTGCCGCTGCTGGAGGCCCCAGGGGAACCCCAAGCGGTGCAAGAGCCACACCGTGTTGTGAGAGTCAGTGCGGGTTCGGGGTCACCGCGCGGATCCCTGGGGTTCTCGGGTTCTCGTCGGCCCCTGGAGGTTTTCTTGCCTCGGGATGCGCCCCGGCAGCTGCGCCGCGCCGAGAGCGCTCCGGGGATGCCCACAGCTTGCTCCGAGCGGCCGCCAGAGATCCGAGGCATGGCCCAGAAACCCGACACTCGGAGGAGATCCGGTGTGGTGATTCAGTGGGGATTCGGGCTCACCGCACGCCTCGGGGGGGCTCGGGCAGCCCTCCGAGGACGTCTCGGGCGACTGGGGCCTCCAGGGGGCCCCAAAGAGCGCGACGACGGCCCGTGCGGTGAGGTCAGTTGGGGCTTTGATGTCACCACAGAATCTGTCGCCGCACCCTCCCCTGACATCCGCCGACATGATTTTACGATCCGCGGCCCCAAATATCCCGGCCCCTCCCCCAGGGCCAGTTCCTTGGCCCAGGATCAGCCGGTAACATAAATTCAGGGCGCGAGAACGAGCCCAGAGGTTGAAGTCGAGGGGGAACGCCCATGTTGAAAAAAGAAACCGTCGGATATCGGGGCTTGGGACCCCAATGTTCACCGAGCTCCTTGGCTGGCCGGGCGGCTTGGTGCCTGTGCTTGGAGCCCCTCCTGCAGGTACGAGCTGGAGAGGACCCCGCACCGTTTTGGGACCCGCCTCGTCACAAGCTGACAAGTAACACCCATACCTATACGTCCCTTAGAACTAATTCCTGGGGTGGAATTCTGGACGGGGCTATGGGTGCGTGCTGTCGGATGGGGGTCCCCGCTCGAATGGGACCCCCCGACAACTCGCACCCATACCTATAGCGCGTTCATCGCCTTCCCCTTCTCCATTCCTCCTCCCTACAGGTTTGAGTGTGTGTGTGTGTTGTGTGTTGTGTGTATGTTGTGTATTGCGTGTGTTGCGTGTGTTGTGTATAGTGTGTTGTGTGTGTTGTGTGCTGTGTGTTGTGTGTTGTGTATTATGTGTGTTCTCTGTGTGTTGTGTGTGATGTCTTTGTGTGTGTGTTTCTGCGGTGTGATTATGCGTCTGTGTGTTTGTGTGTGTGGTTGTGTGATTGTGTATGTGTGTGGTTCTGTGTTTCTGTGTTTCTGTGTTTCTGTGTTCGTATGTGTGTTTGTGCGGGTGTGTGGGTGTGTGGGTGTGTGGGTGTCGTGTGTCGTGTATCGTTTGTCGTGTGTCGAGTGTCGTGTGTCGTGTGTCGTGTGTCGTGTGTCGTGTGTCGTGTGTCGTGAGCCGTGTGTCGTGTGTCGTGTGTCGTGTGTCGTGAGCCGTGTGTCGTGTGTCGTGTGTCGTGTGTGCGTGTGCGTGTGCGTGTGCGTGCGCGCGTGCGTGCGTGCGTGCGTGCGTGCGTGCGTGTGTGTGTGTGCGTCTTGCTCGCTGGCCACCTCGCAAGAGGCCCTGGCGCACCCGTGGCTGGTCTCGCACGCGGGCGTGGGCGCCGTCTCCCTGGCGGCCTCGCGCGCGGCGGTGCTGGCCGAGCAGCGCAGGCAGCAGGCGGACGCCGACGGCGGGTGCAGCATCAGGACCGCGGGCGCCTCGGCGCACGCCGCGCTGGCGCGGACGCGAGGGTGCGGGTCGCGATGCTTCGCGCTGCTCCTCCTCCTCTTCCTCCTCCTCCTCCTCCTCCTCCTCCTCCTCCTCCTCCGTAGCCATTTTGGCTCAAGCCAGCCGTTCTGGCCCAAGTTTTTGGGCTTGCAGCAGCAGTCTTCAGAGCGGCAGCCGCTGCTGCGAGTCATTGTGGCAACAGAGTGATTGCGCCTCCCTGAGGCTTCCCTATCAGTGCCAGAGGAGCGCCCCATGGCAGATGGCGTCGACGTCTTGCCAGGTCCGCGCACTCCATTCTGGCCGTGTTCTTGTGGGCTCTCGTCAAACTGGGCATCGCGCCTGGTTTGCCGCTGCGGCAAACCCGCCCCCGCGGCGGTAGCCAAGGCAGCCCGTGGGAATGCTAAGCGTGCTCAACGTGGTCCTGCTGGTGGTCTCCAGCCTCGTCAGTTGCTCGGGGCCCGCTCAGGCAGTATCGCATCGGCGAAGCTCTCCAAGCAGCTTGCCGAACTACAGAAGAAGTATGATAAATTGGTCGGGAGTGGCACTGGTGGCAGTACTAACAATGCTGGCGGGTCCGTCAGCACAGGTTCGCCACCAGAACAGAGTGAGAGCGAACGTAAAGAACAAGCGATTCGTGACAACATCAAGCAGCTGGAGCAGGCCCGCACCGCAGTGGATAAGGTGCCCAATTGTGTCGAGGCCAAGGCTGTTCTGGATGCACAGTTGTCCGAAGCGCGCAAGCAGTTATCGAGCCTCAAGCCTGAGCTTACCGCCCACACTAACATCGGACATCGGTTGCAGCGGGCCGAGGCCAAGGTTGAGAAGATATCAGCTCAGGTTTCCGAACAGATCGATGTGCTTAGGCTTGCTCAAGAGAAGTTGGACAGCCTACAGTCACAACACTTGTTGGCGTCAAAAGAGGTGGAGCAACTACGAGGTGAAATCGCGGCGACACTACCTTCCCCTGTGGCCCAGAAAGAAGTTGGACTCGATATGCAAGATTTGGCGGAGAACGACGAGGAGAAAGCTCAGCTCGAGGCACTCTTCCAGTCTTCCCAATTCAAGCTCTACCAGGAGGCCCTCTCGAGGAAGGCCAAGGCGAAGCAGAGCAGCTCTCGGGCCGCGACTTCGCCCTTTGATCAAGACGGTGATGTTCGGATGGGCCAGCGGAACGAGGCACCTGCAGCGGCGCGTGACGCAGCTACCGCCAGCGGCACACCACCTGCCGCGACCACCCATGATGGAGCGTGCACGCCCCCTCCAGCTGCGCCAAGTACACCACCAGCCGCGGCTGGCAACGAAGCACGAGCAGCTGGAGGAGGAGGCGACCTCGGTGGTGCACATCAAGAAGTACCCCCAGATCCAGAGCTGGACCAGGAGATGGACGCACTCTTCTGGGCAGCGCAGCGCGTGGACAAACGTAATTTCCACGCGCAGCTGGCAGATTTGTTGGCCAAGCGACAGCGCTTGGGGTAACCCACCACTTTTACCTAGGTGCTGTGGTTTTCGCCTGTCACGCACAGGCACGGTGCAGCCTCCCCCCGCTCCTCCTCGCCTCGACCCCGACTGTGAGGGCTCGCCTGGCTACGGTGAAGTGTTGGAGTCCTATAACGGCAACTCTTGGGGGACCTTGAGGGATAGGTTGGCCGCCAGTTCGGCCCTCATTTTTCTGGCCCAAGGGGTTGGTTTCACGGAGGACACCTTGGGGGAGAAATGCGCGGTTGCGGGTAAGTTGGGGTGGAAAATGCTGGCTTCCCCGTCGACGGTGGGGGCCAAAGGTAGGCCTAAATGGGGGGTGGCGGTTCTGGTGCGGGCCCACATTGGCCTAAGATGGCCGTTCGGCGGCGGCGCCATTGTGCCGTCTCGAATCATGAAAGTGGTTGTGGACATCCCCCAGTGGCCCCCTCTGTCGGTGGTTTGCGTGTACTTGAAGAGCGGCACGGGCATGTGTGATCGCAACGCGTCTTATCTGAAAGCCATCGGACGCACGTTAGAGCATGACAAACTTTTTTGTCGTAGGCGGGGATTGGAATTTGGACCCTGCCCCGGTTGAAATGTCAGGTCTGTCGAGACGTCTCGGCTCGCTGCTTTTTGTTCCTCCAGGTAAGACGTGTGTCAGTGCCAATGCTCTTAGCACCATCGATTTCTTTCTTTGCAGTGCGACCTTCACCCGAGCTGTGAACAAGGTCGAGCGTGATCGTAGTTGGAGTTCCCGACCGCACCATCCTGTGAGATTACTGCTCAAGGATCAGGCCACGCGCCTGTATCAGCTTGTTTATCGTTGTCATCAGAGGCTTCCCGTCGAGCTTCCGCACGGACCGCAGCCTCAGCCACAGGATTGGAGCGCCCCCAGAGATATGGCCGAAACCGCGGCGCGGGCTGCCCTCGAGAGCCCCGTTGGATTCGCCTGGGAACTCCCCACGAAGGCGTGGCAGTCGTTTTCTAATTGTTTGGAGCTGGAGCGCGAGAGTTTCTTGGGGGTGCCGATCAAGGATAAAGGCCTCAAAGGTGTGACTCCTGAAGCTGTTTGGGTCGCCATCTTTTCCGCCCCTAAAAGTGCTTGCACCGAGCTGGTTAACCACGGTTGGGTGTGGTTATCGCAGCATGTTTCTGAGACTCTTGGCGCGGCGAATCGGCTGCTGGCGGCCGCGCAGGACTCTCCGACGGACACTGTGCGGGGTGAGAGCTTGGCGAACGACACCGCACAGCAGGTGCAACAATTTTTAAATGAACCGTGCCTTGGTGAGGACTTGTCGGCAAGGCTGGACGCGACGGTCCAGTCGGCTAGGACTCTCTTGCAGCAATGGCCTCCGTCCTCGCTCGAGAGATGGGTGTAAGAGCTGCGCGAGTACCTCGACTCGTGGGAGGACGACCGCGTAGCAGCGCAGAGGGGCCTCGGGAAGGCCAAGCAGGACTCTTGGGATGAATGGCAGGAGAAGGCGTTGAAAGGTGGTGCCAGGGCCATGCATAGACTCACGAAGTTGAAACAGAAATGGAGCCCCACGGTTGTCGAGTCGGCCCCAGGAGAGTTCAGTAGTGACCCTCAGGCTTTGCTGAGGGCTGAGCGTGACACGCTCTCTCGTTTTTGGCATGCTTCTGACAAGCCTGCGCTTGTTGATGTCCCCGACCGTGTGCACCTTCCTAGGGCCTCGCCTGAAGCTATTCGCAGTGCCAGTGCTAGTTTTTCTTCCCTCACGGCGCAATCCTTAGATGGAGTGCATCCTCGTCAATTGTCGCTGGTGTCGGACGCGGCTCTTGAAACTTCGTCGGCGCTGTACCAAGCGGTGGAAAGCCTAGGCCTCTTTCCCAAACAACTGTTTTGGATGCTCTTCCCCCTGCTCGAGAAACCGAAAGGTGGGCTTCGGCCTATCTTGTTGTGCGCTGGGCCTGTTCGCGTTTGGGAGAGATTGAGAAGACCCGAGCTTCTCAGCTTTAACGACACATACCCCCGACGTTTCTGGGCTTTCGGTTCTGGTCGTAGTGCGGAAGATGCGGTGTGGCATCAGGCTACCAGGGCCGAGGTGGCGGCGCATTCTGGCCAGCAAACGGTGGGGGTGATTTGGGATGGGACCAAATACGATGAGAGTTTCGACTTGCATTTGTTGAAGAAACGCGCTTTGGTCCACGGTTTTAACCCTGTGATTGTCAAAACGACTTACAATTTCTGGCGAGGACCCAGGCTCCTGAGGCTAGGCGCCCAGTACGCCGATGCCCCTGTTTTTGCCCAGTCGGGGTTACCAGCGGGCGACATATTCAACGATTTGCTTGTTAAGGTTTATAGCATAGAGGCTTTCGACCAGTTCGCTTTGGAGCACCCGCTGGCCCCTTTGAGCAGCTATGTTGGCGACGACTCCCTCACTACGGAAGGTGAGTCTGAGACAAGGTCACATGGCTGGAGCGGCCATGTACATTATCTTTCGTGACTATTTGAAGGTGCAGCTGCAGGCGGACAAGCTCACTACTTTCGCTAGCTCGTTGCCCCTTGCACGTAAGCTTGGCCGACTGCTCGGAGGCATGGCTGGCACGGTCACCAATAGTGCGGTGGTGCTGGGCACGGACCTGGCCACAGGACAGCGTCGGGGAGCCAAAAACGCGGGGTGGAAACGTCGACAGCGTCTCAGGCAGATGCACGCTCGGCACAAGATTTTGAAAAGGTACCGTGACCGCTTACCTCGCCAAAAGGGACGGATAGGCAAGATTTACGTTGCGGGTGTTTCCCTTGCTGCTACGTTTGGAGCGGCCGTCGGAGGGCTTAACGACACCGAGCTTCAGGAAGCTCAAAGAGTCATGTTGACTTACAAACCTCCTTATCACCGAGGGGTGTCGTTTCATGCCAAGTTAGCGCTCGTGGGGGACCTCGTTTGGAGAGCGGGAGTTGCGCCAGCGTTGCATTGGGCGCACATCGTTTGGACTGCCCTCGCATCCCCCTCCGCCTCGTACTACAACGTTAAGGAAATATGTCAGATGTGGGGAGCTGTTCCCATGGATGAAGGGGTCACGTGGAAGAATTCGCGAGGGCCCATCCAGAGAATGCATCTGTCGTTAAATCGTATTGGGTGGCGCAGTGCGTCGGCCTTGACATGGCTTGACGACACTGAAAGAGTCGTGCATCTTGGGTATAACCCTCCTGCTCTCATAGGTCAGTTGCTGCAGCTCGGCACACAAAGACGCCATGAGAGAGTTGTGGCGAGGCTTCTGCCGTCCTTCAACGGGACGCGCGCGTGCACCGAACCCCTGGTCCGTTTGTTGTGCCCCGAGTCCAAAAAGTTGGCCCCGAGGGAACGATACATTGTCACCACTGTGTTTTGTAAGGGACTTTGGACCAGGGCCAGAGCCAGAGCTGCAGGCTACGTCAGTGACGGCAGGTGCTCACTCTGTGGCGAGCCTGATGGAATCAGGCACCGCGTATGGAACTGCCGACATCACGATGCTGTCCAGGCTCGGCAAGACGCGGCTGTCGATCACCCCGAATGGTTGCTGGAGGCGACCGAGAGCACGGGTCACTGCTTCTGGGACGAGCTCAAGATGGACCATCCAGGGCCGAAGCTTCCTCCCCCTAGTAACGACCCCAACCCGAAGTTGTTCAACCCCGAGGGACAGGAAATTGTTTGGGACTCCATTGACCTCCAGGGCCTGGACATTTGTATGGACGGTTCTTGCGCTCGTCATGTTGTGAGGGAGCTGTCTCGGGCCGCCTACGCTTGGGTCTTTTTGGACCCGACAGGGTCAATTGTTGCTTATGCTCAAGGAACGGTGCTGGACGTGCTCCAGCAGACCCCGCAGGCGGCCGAACACCAGGCCATGGCGTTGGTTCCTTTGTTTGTTGAACGTAGCGGTGATCGTTACTCGGACAGTGCCACCGCTACTAAGTTGTGTAACACCCCTGTGCAGCATCAGATATCGAGTAGGCACCGCTATGCGGGAATGCGACGTGGGGCGTCTCTGCATGAGAAACAGGGACACGAGTACAGAGTTATTCACACGCCTGCCCACCGCTCTCAAGCGGTCATCGATAGTCTCCCAGGGCCTGAGAGAAGGATCGCAATAGGTAACCAAGCCGCTGATACTTTAGCCAAGCAAGCCCTCCTCCTCCACCCTCAGGCCTCTCCCGCGGAGTACCAAGAAGTTAGCGATGATATAGATAAATTAGTGTTCGCGGCCAAGGTCATGGCCAAAGTTTTGTGCGTTTTCCCCGTCGAGAAATTCGAGCGGCCCCAGTCTGGACCGAGATGTAAGTTTTTACGGACTGGAGGCTGGTACCACTGGGAATAACTCGACGGGGGCTGTGCCAGGTGTCTGCGTTGCCTGCTTTTTAGTGGCGACCCTGACAGCCGGCCTGAACTAGGCTGCCGAGGGCCGAACAGCACTTGGAAAGGGGTTCTCGATTTCACCAAAGGGCACACCCTTGCGCACACGTTCGTCACGCGCAAGCATAAAGTTTCTAGCATGATGTGTTGCACCACGTGCGGGGCGTATACGTCCCGAAGATGCTTCAAGCTCGGTCAAGAATGTATCGGCAAGAGGCTCCCAGGGGCTAAGACGACACTCCCTAGGATCATGGCTGGCCTCCACCCTCACTATAGAAATGAGGATGATCGTGTGTCGGCCACTTCTCGAAGGGGAGTGAACTATCTTTGCTACGCGGCCACCACTCCGCCTCCCCCAGAGGTCACAAGACCTGCTTTCGGGATGGAGGGATTGGTTCAGACTCCTGGGATGCTAGCGGTTCTGGCGCGCATCCAGGCTCGTGAAATGGCGCGAGGGAGTAACACTCAGCCCGACAGAGTTTGACGGTCTAGCCCGTTCTTGCGGCGCAAGGACGCCAGTCATTTGTTTTATTGCACGGCCCGATGCGACTGACCCTTTTGGCAGGCATTCGTGATAACCCCACATCTGGGGCGAGTCTTGTAGCCGTCCTGGCGCTTCCTGCACCAGGGGCTCTGGCCTCGTCGTCCTTGTGTGGGTGGTCGATTCTTCCCAGTGGCGAGGGCTCGCCTTTTCCGTTTATGCTAAGCACGGCCCGATGCGGCTGACCCTTTTGGCAGGCATCCGTGCTATACCCCACATTTGGGTCGAGCCTGATGGTCGTCCTGGCGCTGGCTGCACCAGGGGCCTTGGGCTCGTCGTCCTTGTGTGGTGGGTCGAATCTTATCCTGTTCGTTGGTGTACGTTCTCGCGGTGTGTGCGCTCGTCGCGCACGCGTGTCTGGCACCCCACTTCTGGGGGAAGGAGCATGCACAACTGGGTGCGCGGCTTCTAGTCTCGAGCACGGGGACGACTCCGTCCCGACAGTAGCTCTCCTGGTGTTGCTGAGGCCCTTGAGCTTTGGTTCAGGGCCCCAACATCTACTGTCGCTCGTGTGTGGCACGCGTCTTCGTGCACGCGTGTCAGGCACCCCATTTCTGGGGGAAGGAGCATGCACACCGAGGGTGCGCGTCTTCTATTCCCGGGCACGGGGATGACTTCATCCCGACAGTTGCTTGTCTGATGTTGCTGCGGCCCTTGAGTTTAGGTTCAGGGCCCCAACATCTCTGTCGCGTTTGTGTGGCACGCCTCAGTGTTTAGGCTGCCTCCGTTCGCTCTCGCAGAGGGAGCAGACCCGCGACAGGTCCACATGTCCTTGCCCCATCCGCGGGCAGGGCCCCGATCGCTATGCCGACGGGCGTGGACTGTGGTGTATTTGTTTTGGCTGTGCGTGACCTAACAAGTTGGTCACCGTGCATGGCCTCACTGGCGCGCGGTCAGTGCGCCAGACGGCGAACTGTCGCCGCCTCGGTCCTGCCCACTGGCTCGCACAGGAAAAAATTCCTCCTCCTCCTCCTCCTCCCCCTCCTCCTCCTCCTCCGACGGGCGGAGGGTACCTGGTCTTGGCCCCCATCTTTGCTGCTGGCCCCGAGGTCTCATGGGCGCGGCCCCCCGGCGGGGCCCCGGTGCAGAGGGCGGCGAGCCTGCCCCACGAGAGCGGAGCACCTGCCCAAGAGTGCCCCCCGCGGTGCACACTTCTCCCGCATGCCACCACTTCCATACGGTGGGGGCGTTCGTTAAGGAATAGCCCCAGGAGGCTTCAGACCCTGGAGGATTCCTTATCTGGTGAGGGCGGCGGTGACATCCATGGCCAAGCCTCGATTGGAGTTGCACTGGCTTCCAGACCCTGGATTCCTTATCCAATGGTTCCTTATCCAATGCCCTCACCGTCCGTAGCCATTTTGGCTCAAGCCTTTTCTGGCACAAGGGCTTGAAGTCACCTGGCGTGGGGGAGGCGCGCCCCCGCCCGCGATCCTGCGGCCAGGTGCTGGCAGCAGACATACTTGTGTGAGCTCCTGTCGGAGCAGCTCCCGTGATGAGCACCGTACCCTGCAACGACGTCCAGGATTCTCCTCCTGGCACTCGCCCCATGGCTCCTGCTCCTGCGGCCGCGCGACCTCCGCGGTGGAAGACCGCGTCCCCACCCTGGGGGGTACAACAGAAGCAGCAGTGGCAGGCCTGGCGCGACATCGGCTCTGACGACGACGTCGAGGGCTGGCACCAGGTGGGGCAAGCTGGACGAGGACCGCAGTGCAGCAAGTGCGGCTGCAAGAAGAACACCAAGGGCAGCAAATTCTGCAAGGCCTGCGGCCACAAGCTCTCGGACATCAGCCCAGCCGTCGCTGCTGAACCCGCTGGCGTCTGGAGCGAGCAGCGCGGGCAACAGCTCGGTGATGCGGCTGGCAAGGACGGCAAAGGTGGCAAGAAGGGCAAGAACAGCAAGGACACGGGCAAAGGTGACGGCGGCAAAGGTGGAAAAGGTGGACGTGGTGACGGAGGTGCAGGTGGCGATCCAGCCAAGCTTCCTCGGGCACCTGGTGCACAGCTCCTGGTGGCCAAGGATGGCCCCTCTGTGGAGCTCGAGACTCACGAGCTGGAGCAGCTGGCGGCCACTTTGGAGAAGCTGGGAGACACGGTCAGCCTCGCGAAGCATAGGCGCACCCTTCAAGAGCGGCGCAGACTCCAGCAGGAGGCGCTCTACGTGCCGCCGTTATCGCAGAGGGTCACTCAGGCCCACAAGCAGGTGCAGGACGTCGCGCAGAAGCTGGAGAAGGCGGTCATGCACTTCGAGCGGCTCGAAGAAGGCCTCGAAAGCCAGCGTCGTTGGGTCCAATCTCTCTGCGAGGACATGGAGACGAAGAAGGCTGAGCACCGCAAGCTGGTGGTGGAGCTCAATCGCCAGGTGGTCGACATCAGCCAGGATTCAGCTCCTGCAGTTGCCCCCATCAGCGTGGCTGGCATCTTGGACGGCTCCATCGAGGAGATCCCTCTCTCGTTTGCTGGCCTGGGGTTCGACGACGCTGAATATGAGATGGATGCAAATGACAAGAAGGAGCTGGCAGATCGCAGCGCCCGTCTCAAGAGTGAGCTGTCCAAAGCGGCCAAGCAAATGTTCGGGCAGGCGGCGGAGAGGGCCAAGCTCTTCAAGGAGGAGCAGGAGGCCATGGCGCTACGGCTGGCTGGCAAGAGGCGGCGACAGGGCTCAGGCCCAGAGGACCCTGGCCCAGCAGGGGGCGGCCGCCGCCGAATCAGCTCCGAGAGGCAAGGACGGCGAGGCAGCGGACGCCGACGCGACGGCGCCGTCGCCTCCCACTGCAGCAACGCAGTCGCCCAAGGGGGAGGAGTCAACCAGCCAGAACTTCGAGCAGAGGGCGGCCAGGATATGTCGCCCGCCGCCCCCTCAGGCGGCCTCTGCCTGAGGGGGCAGACCCCATGGACGAGGTGGCTGAGTGCGATCGGCGAACGCCCTTGGCCGAGGCAGCTGGATCTCTTCGGCCAGCTGACCGTTTCTGGAGCAACAAGATCGTGGACCTCGACTGGCCTCAGGTCGGGGGGTTCCTGGTCCCTGCCCTTGATCGCCCAGACGAGGGCACATCGATGGTAGGCAAGCAGCACTGCAAGCAGCTGCATGCCAAGCCCGAGGGCGTCATGCCTGAGCCCTTGGGGCGGGGGCCTGAAGCGATGGGGCTTCCACCTGATGTCGCAGATCCTGATCGTCAGCAGGCCATCCAGGACTTCGCTGACATGAGGGCGGACCTCAGGGACTGGGCTGCCGCCTGGTTCGACTCGCACACTGAGCTGGAGACCGACAGCGGGCACTGGAGGCGCTGGTGCAAGGCTTTCCTGAGCGCGATGCTCGCTGACGGCGGGAGCGAGCCGCTCAGGCGCCTGCTGAGGAGCTGGTTTCCTGGCAGAGACTTGGACAGCATCCTGGACGAGCTCTGCCTCAGCGGCTGGAGGCAGGCTGAGCCCCGCCGCATCGCCTTCTTGGACAGGCTCAACAGAGGCCAGCCTCTGGATCGGTGGCGACTAGAGCACAGGCACTGGAGGCACCTGGCGCAGATCAGGGCCACGTTTCGACGACTCCTCGGTGACAGAGCTCCTGGAGACCCAGTGCCGCCTCAGCGACCTGGTAGGGGAGTGGAGCCTGACCCTCCTCGTCGGCCAGACCCTGATGACGACCAGGCGATGGACAACGTCGACAACCTGACGGCGAAGCTGGTCATGCTGTCGCACGCGCCCTCGCCCCAGCTGCCTGGTGGCGGAGTCTCGCCCAGCCAAGCCAACCTGAGCGTGGAGCAAGCCGGCCCTGGATCGTCCTGGTCAGCAACGGGAGCCTCCTCAGCTTCGGGCACAGTAGCGTCTGAACGCATCCCAGAAGGCGTTAGACCGCATGGCGTTAGGTCGCACGGCGTGGCGGCACGGGGGGTTTGAGCCTGTTGGACACCGCCCTTGGCTTCATAGGGGGTCGTTGCGGGCGACCACCCCGTGCCACCAGTCTGCCCCAGTCGCCACCTGCTGGACGAACACGAAGGCGCAGCTCAAGTCCTGGTCCCGAGTGCTCCTCGAGCTCGGGCCAGGCTCAGTCGCCATGCGCTGGATCAGGACCCTCGCCTGCCGAGAGGGTCGGAGGAGTTGCAGACAGTCAAAACTGGCAGTCAAGAAGCCAACTCAACACCAAAGTCACGGTGGACACCCTGGGCCTTCTGACGATCCCCGAGCCTCAGAGCACCAAGGGCGACGTCCTGTCACAGCTGGAGGGGCCGCCTACGCTCTGCTTGGCCAAGCTGGTGGCGCCGCCTGTGGCCAGTCCAGCGTCCTTCATCTCGCTGAATGGCACGACCTGGAAGGAGGCGCAGACGGAGCTAGAGCGCCTCTCGGACGCTGGCTCGAAGGACGACGTCTACCTTATCCAGGAGACTCGCTTCACGGGGAAGGAGAAAGAGAGCGAGGCCATCGGGCGGGGCACTCGCAACGGCCTCAACGCGTCTTTCAGCCCATGCAGGAGGACGGGTAGCTCGGCCCAGTCTGTGTCATCTGGGGTTGGCTGTCTTGTGGCGACACACCGAGGTTCAGCACCTGTGGACCATGACTGGGGTCCTTTCAGCTCGCGGCTCTTCGCTCGTAGGGTGGTGTTCGGGGCCTTGATGGAGATTGTGGTCAGCGCCTACCTGGAGCACTCCGCCAAGATGACGGGCACCAACGTGGAGCTGCTGAGCGAGCTGCAGGTATTCCTCAACTCCCAATGCGAGCCGTTTGTCGTGGCAGCGGACTGGAACATGGAGCCGCAGCTGTTGGAGAGCTCCTGGTGGCCGCGTTCTGTGGGGGGTGCTGTTGTGGCGCCCAAGCTACCTACCTGCTCGGTGACCTCGGGGAACGATCGGGTATACGACTACTTCGTGATATCGGCCTCCCTTGCGGCTCTGAGCCCGACGGTAGAAGTACTTCGGCCAACGACTACACAGCCCCACGCTCCAGTGCGGCTTACCTTCAGCAAGCTGGGGGCCCAAGCCAAGGTCTGGGTCTTGAGAGGCCCCAAGAGATTCGACCTGTCGACGGACATTTCGGAGGATGACCAGATGAAGGCGGAGGAAGCCGCCCAGGACATTGTCTGGCAGGCGCCCCTGCCCACTCCAGGCGCGAGGCCTGATGAGGCAGTGCGCGAGTTCTTCGACAAGGCGGAGGACCACCTGATTGCCATGTTGGGTGTCACCGACGGCCCCAAGCACCGTGGCAGAGCGGACGGGCTCAAGCGAGTAGAGATCAGCCTCAAGGACCTCCAGCGGACGGAGACCTCCAGAAAGGTAAGCCCTTTGACGAGGCTGTGGCTCTCTCTCGGCAGGCTAGTCAAGCAACTCAGGGCAGCGGCGCCGGTCCCAGAGCCAGCCAAAGGCCATGCGCTATACATGAAGCACCTGGAGCAGGCGATCGTCTCCCTGGCAGCGCAGTTCGACGGCCTGGGCAACTCGATGTTCAACGGCACCAAGATGGACACGATAGTCCACGAGGTCAGGCGCGGCTCCTTTGACGGGCTGCAGGTGATGAAGGCCATCGCCAGGGTCACAGACATGCACGTCAAGGGCGATGCGTCTGCAGCCAGGACCCGCTGGAAGGAGTTCGTTGACGAGTCGCTGGCTGGTGGAGGCCGTGGAGCTCATGCTATTAGCAAGAAGCTCCACGGTGAGGCGAAGCCGATCATGGCGGAAGGCAGCGGCGACTCGCCTCCGGTACCACTGGTGGGCCAAGCGGCCCTGGATCAGATGCTGGTGGAGTGGAAGGCCCTGTGGAGCAGCGGGGACGGACAGCAGACCAGGCCTGCCGACTGGCCTACCACGTCGGACCTGCCCCCGATTACGGCGGAGGAGGTGCTAGCGTCGGCGAGGACGTTCGCGAAGAAGACGGCGCTCGGATGGGATGGTTCCCACCCCAAGCTGCTGACGATGCTGGGAAGGCCGCTCGCGCAGCGCATGGCTGACGTGCTGACGCACTGGGAAAGGCACCCGCAGCCGACGGCGATGTTCACCACGCTCATCGTCTTCCTGGGCAAGCCTGGGGGCGGACGTCGCCCCATCGGCTTGATGTTCTTTTGGCTCCGAGTTTGGGGCAGGATTCGCAGGCAGTACTGTTTACAATGGGAGCGCGACCACCGCCTTCCTGAGATTTGGGGCAGCAGCTCTGACACCTGCTGCGACAGAGCAGCGTACTTACACAACTTGTACCTTGGCCTCGCTCGGAAGGTCGGCTTCGACGGAATCTCGGTATACTTCGATATTAGCAAGTTCTACGAGCGGATCGATCACGGGCTGCTTCTGAAGGCGGCCGAGCTAAATGGTTTCTGCACATGCTTGGTGCCTGCGCTCTTCGTGGCATACTCGGGACCGAGGAGAGCAACTGCCGACAGCGCCGTCAGCGAGGAGATCCATGCGAGGGGCACGGTCATCGCAGGCTGCTCGTGTGCGACAACGATGTCTAGGCTCATGCCGATGGACCTTCTTGTCAAGAGCCGAGCTAAGCTCCCCATCGGTCGGATCGCCAACGTGATCGACGACATCTCGGGCAATGGAATAGGATCCAGAGGCGTGCTGGTTAGTCAGATGAACAGCTTCGCCCAGGGCGTCGTGACGATGCTGAGGGACAAGCGGCTCCCGATCAACTGGGGCAAGACGAAAGTGCTGGCCTCCTCAGTGGACCTCCAGCGCGAGCTGATGAAGCAAGAGGGGTGGCCGCTGGACAAGGCCGCCTTTGCTCAGGGACACCGTGACCTCGGTGGTGACGCGACTGCTGGTGGACACCGCATGGTGGCGACGCAGGTCAAGCGAGAGTTGGATGCACTCCGACAAGCAGCACGGCTGGCACGCATCTTCGGACCTGGCCTTCGGCAAGCTCGAGTGATGCGAGCTGGGCCGACGGCCAAGGCGCTCTGGGGCTCGGCCATTGCTGGAGTCCCACCTGGGCGCATGAGGGCGCTCAGGGTGGCAGCTGCGAAGTGCGCTGGTCGCTTGCCGCCTGGAGCGGCCCTCAGTTTCGCCCTGCAGTGCGCGCCCCGCGGCTGGCGGCAGGACCCGCTGGTGGTTGCAGTGGGCATGGCAGTTCAGGCGTTCGTCAACGTGGTGTGGTCTGGACAAGCCACAGCCTCAGCCATCCAAGCGTGCATCCAAGAGAGCCAGCAGGTGCTCAGCAAGCAGCGGCCTTGGAGTTCGGTCCGTCAGCCGATAGCGGCGCTCACGCTCACCCTGCAGAGGATAGACTGGCAGCTCTCCTTCGACGGCACCAAGCTGCTGGACGAGGACAAGGGGGAGTTCGAGGTGCTGCACTTCTCGCCCGCGTTCCTGGCGGAGAAGGCCAGGGAGGCCACGAGGAAAGCGGCTGCGCTTGAGGAGGCTCGAGCTCGTCCTGGATCGCTCTGGCCGTGGAAGCTGCCGCCACAGCGGAGGCCAGTCAACGAGCTGCTCGGCAAGAAGGAGACGGAGACCTGGACTGGGCACCACAAGGGCTGCCTGCGCTGGCTCGTCTCGCTCTCGCACTGGCCCCAGCACCGTCTTGCGAGGCACGCCTCCGACATCGACCCGATCTGCATGCTCTGCCAGGCTGCACGTGGCACGATGTTCCACAGGCACCACGTCTGCCCAGCTTGGGAAACTTGGCGGCGTGACAGGCTGCCGTCCGACCTGAAGCGTGCTGCTTGGTTCGTCCACGAGATGGGCCCGCCGTTCGATGAGCTGTTCTGCCAGGGCCTGTTCGTGGACCCCTTCCTGCTTTTGCATCGCTGCGCTGGCAGCCCCAGTGGGAGCGGCTCTCTCATGGTTGGCATGAAGCAGTTGTGGTCGAAGACGGTGCCATGGTATTCACCGACGGCTCCTGCATCCTCGGTGACGTTCCGCGCCTGCGCAGCGCGGGCTGGTCGGTCGTCGTGATGTCCAAGGAAGGTGCGATCTTAGCCGAGGCGTGGGGGGCGGTCCCTCCCAGGCTATGCCCATCGCAGACGGCACGTGCGGGAGAAGACTACGCAGCGGTGGTGGCGCTCACTGAGGTCATTGGCAGCTACCAGCTGCTGATCGACTGACAGGGCACAGTTGACTCGGCGCTCAACCTTGGCAGAGCTCAGGGCCCCACTTCGACCTACGCCCACCTCTGGGCCAGAGTTGGGGATGCCGCTGAAGGTGCCAAGATCAAGCACATTCCTGCACATCGGTCAGAAGCGGCAGTGGCCAGAGGAGAGCTGTCGGCTATCGAGATGTTCGGCAACCGCCTAGCAGACAAGCGAGCGAAGGAGGGAGCCGCCCTCCACGCTCCCTTAGCCGACGACGTCCAGCTCCTGGAATGCTGCCTGGCCAGGGCACGTGACGCAGCTCGCTTTGCCGCAGAGGCCGAGGTCTACACCTCAGATTCTGGTATGCGAGACTGCTGGCCGACGGAAGCCCTGGATGACGTCAACCTCCAGCCGTACCTCTACACGTGGAACCTGACGTGCGAGGATGAGGGTTACGGCTTGTTGGATATTTCCAC